TTTGTTGCTCAAATTGTTCCAGCCTTGGTCATTGGGAGTTCTTTCAGTTGGTTCCTATATCCCTTTGACATAGTCCCATCTTTTTTTTTTTTTTTTTTTTTTAAAGCATGTTACTTTCTGGCTCACTTTACCTCTGTGGTCTTACTTTCTGGATTATCAGGGATATGTTGTGTATTTCCTGCTCCAGTCCAAGAATCAGCCATTTCTCCAAGGAGCTCTCTTCCTTTTGTTAGAGAATGGTATTAGAAACCTAAAACTGGGAGTTAAGTGTGCTCATGGCTACTGGGGTATCCTTGCTTCTCGGTCCTCTCAGCTGACAGTGCAAGGAACTATGTGTGTATATGTACACAGCAATAAATACCTTCGTATGAAACCATTTGTATCGATATTAAGCTAAACATGAGTTTATCCTTATGTCTCCAACTCTAATCCATTATGGCACGGGTCATTCTGGCCTCTCCCGTTGCCTATCTAACCTCCCACTCCCAACAGTGAGAAACCTGGCTCCTACCATCTGCCGCCTATGTGCCAACATATTTAGTTATTTTCAGCAGCCATCATTACTGGAAACTTACTCTCCCTCCTGTTTTTAAAAGAAATGGTAGCACGTAATACAAACTGCTCTGCACACAGGGTCCCTGGGTGGCACAAAAGGTTAGCGCCTGGCTACTAACTCAAAGGTTGGCAGTTTGAACCCACCCAATGGCACTGCCAAAGAAAGGCCTGGTGATTTGCTTCCATAGAGATTACAGCCCAGAAAATCCTGTGGAGCTCAGTTCTACTCTGCCACATGCTGTCACCATGAGTCATAACTGACTCAACAGTGGTGGGTTTGGCTTTCGGTTTTGTGGCGCACAGGACTGTTGTGCTGGACAGACGGCAAGCATTGGCTGTCATTACTTGCTGCTACACACAGATCTACCTCATTCTTTGTAAAGGCTGAATGGTGTTCCACGTGAATGTTCTCCAGTTTCCTTAACATCTTGCCTATTGATGGGCACCTAGGTTATTTCTGTCTTTTGCTGCAGCTGTGATTGTTTTTTATGGACATAAGGATAAATTCACCAAAGTGGAAGTGCTTGATCCAACGGTATGGTCTTGTCAAACTGCCTTCCAGAGATTGGGCCAGTTTATATCATCATCAGTGCATGAGTACCTGTTTTGAAAACTGGTTTATTAATGTCATCTGCAAGGAACACATCACTGTCAAACTCTGATCTTTGCCAATCAAACTGGAAGGAAGTTAGTCCTTTGCCTGTATGCATCTCAGCTTTGTTTTCCTGACTTGAGAGGGGCATTTAGAAAATTTAAATTGTTTGTAGTCATTTTATCATGTATTTCTAGTCATGCTTCAAAAGGCCTTTCACTTTCCACATGCTTGGATGTTCACTTAAAAAAAACCTCAGACATGCGAACAGGCATAATGAGCAGCGTATGCACACCACTCAGACACTACTACCGGTGTAAGGGATGTCCGGGCCCGCCGCCTCATCTCCACCCCTCCCTCCCAATTTGGGGTTTCACATCCTCAGAGCTGTTGTCTGCAAACTCGTTACTGGTCTGCTGTTTACTCGGCCACCCTTCACAGTGGTTTGGTTAGCTGATTTGTTTTGCTGACTTTCTTGAAGCAGGGCACCTCACCTCACAGACTGGCCGGGCCTCACTGAGAGCCAGTCATTGATGAGATGGAATGGTTTTGCATATTTTAAGCTTTTCTAGTTTCCGTATTCCTGTGCTCTGCTGAGGTTTATCTACAGTGATTCCTGTAGCTCTGGTTTCTCAACGCCGTCGTGTGTGGTCTGAATATACCACGACGTGCTAATCCCGTTTCCCTGCTGATGGTCATTCCCATTTTCTTTCGTAAACACTCTCTAGGGTGTATCTAGGAGTGGAGCTGCTGGGTTCTATGTTAAGAGCATCTTGTTCTCTCTCTAAAGTGGCTGTGTCAGTATTTATTTGTCCTGTCAACATTTGGTATAGGCAGACCTGTTTTTTGTCAGTCTGATGGACAGTACCTCGTGGTTTTTATTTGCCAGTGGGGTTGGGCATGTTTTCACATTCCTAAGGCCACTCAGCTTTTCTCCTGTTTATATCATTTAATCATTTTCCTTTTGTGGGTTACAGTTTCATTTTTTTTTCAAATCTTTTGATGTATTGCAATTTGTTGGGTATAAGGAAGGGTTCAACTAGATTTTCTCAAGATGGTCACCCACATACTGAATAACCTCTCTGACACACCAGGCTGCAATGCCACCTTTCTCGAAAGTGCACCTGCTTACTGTAGCTTTAGGTCTGAACGAGGTTTGGGACCTCCCTGCTGCTCTGGAGCTTTTTTAGTTCTTTCTCACGTTACAATCACCCCGTTTGATTAAAATCTGTTGATATTTCTATATATCATTAATCTGTGAATTATAAATCATTTGCATTAAGATGTGAATTCTCCCTGAATTATGAAAGTTTCCTATCCAAGAACAAGAGGTGTTTCTCCTGATTCCAGTTTTGTGACCCCTGGTTGTGTTGGCCGATTCCTCGGTATTCGTCCTCCCCTTCTCTTGACTAACTGCAGTGAGCAATGTCTCCACAACAATGTTAAGTCACGGGCAGCAGCGGAGATTTTGAGTGATTCTGGTTATTTCAACATTTTTGGTGTACTTTTCGTCGTGTTATATAGTAAGATAATTCCAGGACCTGTTTTGATAATTCTAGGACCTGTTTCGGGACGTCTACCTGTTGAGGGCGTGCAGGGCTTTGCATTTTGCACGTGAGCAGTGTTAGAAGCCTCTCGCCACATTCTGTGAAGTTGCTGACAGACAGTCTGGAGCCAGGGTGGGACTATTTTATAGGTCCTGTTTCACCCAAACACGTGCTCTCATATGCTACCGACATGCTCTCCTAGCTAAAAATTTAAGTCCAGGAACCTCCTTTTATCCACCAGAGGGGTACAGCTTCTTTCTGTTCTGCCCACCCCCACCATGCCCCCAGGCACAAAGCTGGGGGACCCACACGTACCCGTCCCTGCCCACAGGGAAGAGGCACCACATCAAGAGTTTATCGTAGAATAGATTTATTTACCTGAAACCATGTCTGTGCAATGTTTGTTACAGCACAGAAATAAACAACTGATGTCTATTTACAGTCTAAGGTCAAACATGCGTTGTGATAAACTGACATTTAGCATTTTATTAAGATAAATGCACACAATATTCGTATTGCACCAACACCTGTCTACTGCTTCTGATTTCATTAAATAAGTTACATTTAATACAGTGCAAATTAGCTGTTTGCACATTCAAAAAATAACCGAGTTATGAACTGGAGGCCTACATTTTAACCATTCAACACCTGTAGTGTTTCCAATGAATTTATAAATAAGCAAACTGTACAGGGCCAATTAAAAAGTGGCATATTTCAATGACATCGTAGAGAAATCTGGCTACTTACAACTGAAGGCATGCATTACAGCGGAGTACTGAATACTGTACATTTATATAAGCTATGACATTTTGCACAGAGAAGTATGGAGACTTTCGCTGATGGCTTCTAAGTTCTTGGATAAGGTTTCAGAACCTCATTCTTCTTGCAGCAAAGAAACCAAACTTCTCTGGACAGCCTTTCTGGTTCATTAAGCTAAATTGTACATTTGTAATTACTTCGATTTAAAAGCTAAAAACCCCATTGGAAATACACGTTTCCTCCACATAACACACAACAAGTCGGGGAAGCTTGTCTACTGTCCCCCAACATCAATCATGCAGAGGTCGGTAGATGTATTGCTAAAAACGCACATGCACGCAACTGAACACCCTTACATTTCTGCAAAATGGTTTAGGAAGCGGTTACTCCCGTATTGCTGAAAAGGAAAGAGAGAGGAAATCAGCTTTATGAAACACAGGGGAGAAATGTTCGAATAACTGTTTACTCAAGACTAAGGTTAACAGTGACAGATGAAAAGGACACTCAGTCTGATCTGTGAGGTTAAGACCAGCATTTCTGATTAACGATCCCTGAGACGCGCCCAGCAGGCTAGCATCCCAGAAGCCCTGGCTCAGTGACACACACCCCTCGGGCTTTCTGGCTGCAAAGCAAAGGCCACCCCGGCTTGCAGGAGGCTCCCACAGGCAGGCAGGCGCTTCAGGAAAAGGTTTCAGGTGTTTCACAGCAGTGAGATAGACAGGCCACAGGAAGGGGGCTTGGTTAGCAGTGCAGAGGTTAAGAACACAGAGCAGAGGGGAGCAGCGAGTGATGGTGCTAAGCCCCTGGCTCTCCCCTTGCCCCCTGGGCAGCCTCTGCTGGGGATAGTCCTGCCCTGCCTGGGGCCATGGCTTTGTCAGGCTCATGGTCTCCATTCCCTGCTGACACCCAAGCTGAAGCCTGCCTTGCCCTTAACTGCAGGGCGGGGGTGTTGCACAGAATTCGGTGGTTTAGGTCAAAGGGTAACATGGAGCTCATGACAGCTGCAGACACCCCTGGCGGTGAGCATACACGATCTGTATGGGGTCTGCCCACCACACGGCCATGACCACTGTGAGGTGCACGTGGCAGCAGCTGCTGGTGAACAAAGCTGGCCAGCTACCCCGCCGCTTCTGCCCGCTGCGCTCAGGGCCCTGGGCAGGGGGCGCAGCCCTATTGGGGAGGCTGGGAGAGACAGCGTGGAAGCAGGACAGACAGGAGGGGCTTCTGCTGCCTCTCTAGGCAAGGGCTGCCTGACAGCAGGTGTTCAGTGGGTCATAGGACGCTGCCACCGGTCCACTTGCTGAGGGGTGGGCCTCTTTGAACCCTTCCTTGTTGCAGGAGAGGCCTGAGGCTGGGGGTACACCCAAGACCACGGTGCAGGGCCTGGGGGGGGGCTCCCTGTCTTTGTGGGTCTGTCTATTCTCAGTTCAGCTGTCTAGACCCAGGGAAGCGGGTGCCCAAACCACCTCCAGGGGCTGCAGGGGCCACAGCCGGTCCCATCACTGGGGTAGACGAGGTCCTACAGCTGCCCTACCCCCACAGCATGGCCAGAACGAGGAATGTGGTCAGTGCGCTCGGCTCTGTCACTCTGGTTCCACTGGGGAGTGGTGAGTGCCCCGCCCAGACACCGTTTCGGTTTGCAGTTAAAAATGCTTCACTCGACGTATTTCCTTTTCCGCTTCCTGATGCTAACCGTGGCAGCCTCCGTTTCCCAAGAGCCTCAGCGGGCCAGGACCCTGCATGCAGAGCCTTCTCCACGCTCCACTTGTGTGTCCCCTTAAACTCCCACCTCTCAACTTTGCAGCACCTGGCCTGCTTGACCTCCTGCTAACTCCTCCCAAAGGCCAAGTGTTTGCATCACATCTTGCTGGCCCCGTGACCAGCACTGAAGCCCCTTCCCTGCCACCTCAAATACAAACTGGGCCGCGCTCATGCTGACAACTGGGCTGGGGGGCTGATGCGGGCTGAGCGGAGCCTCGAGCTGGCACCTGTGCTTAACACACCCTGGGGAGAAATGTCTTGGCCACCAAGGGCCTGGCCCAGAGAGGCAAAACAAGGCATCTCTTTAAAAGTAGCCTGGTGACTGGGGGTTTGCAGCTGGTTCTGTGTTCACCAGCCTTCTGCTTCCTGATGAACAAAGCACCAATGTTTGGGGCCAGTCCTTGCCGATAACAAAGATCAAAAGAAGCAGACACGTCTCTATGGATCCTCATCTTAGCCCTGGACCAGCACCGCTCCCCCAGCCTGCCTGGCGTGGCCCTCCCAGACATCCTGCGGAGCCACTGTCCTAGGCAGCGTGTGGCATCTACAGAGCACGTCTGTCAGCTAGCACTGAGCAGTCTCTCGTGCCACCCGGCTGCTGCCACAGACCATCCCTGTAGGAGGGGTGCTGGCACAGCAGAGTGACACGGACCTCGCTTGGGGTGAAGGAAGTCACTACTGATTCATTAGCGTCACACAGCTATCTCATGTTCTGACAGTCACCTGTAGACTAAAGCATCCAAGTTACAGGGAAGAAAATACTCAAATACTCACTTTAGTTGATGAATGTTGGAAGGCATTGGAGAAAAACACCACAGTTAGGACTGTTAATGACTTACACACTGCAGGTCACACTGATCTCGGAACATGCGCAAACATTTATCATAGGACGATGGTGGTGGTTAGTGCCACAGTAAAATAAAAATAGTTCTATACAATATGTTCATTTGGTCATGTGCTATTTACACATTTTACAAAACACATATGCGCACGGACACACGCACACTGCCCTCGTGTTCTCTAAGCAGGCGAATAGGCCGGCAGGAACTCGCAGAAAACGCACGCGTACCACAGACGACAACTAGCGCCTGTGCCTAAGTCAAACTCCCGCGGCCAGCTCTGAGCAGGGTGGGGCCTCCCCACTGAGCACAGGGGTACTAACCACAGTTCTGAGCTAAGAATGCAGAAGAAAGTTGGATATTTAAAGCTCAGCCATTTAAGAGTTAAAAACAAGACAGTTATTTTTTTCTCTGTCCATTTAAAATGTTTTATTTTTCTTTTTAAACTAGACTGTGAAGTGCCATGGAAATAGGCAATGTTGGCCAGAAAAAAAAAAAAAAAATGCCGGTTACAATAAAACACATTAGACATTTAAATAAATAACCTCAGAAACTACGTGAGGGGCCACAAACCCAGTAGACTGAATCTGGAACAATGTTTTCTGCACAAGCGAGAACAGGCATACCTCTTGTTAAAAAGACTGATGTAAACAGAACCATCGAAATCCTAGGAGAAGCTGGGTGGGGAGTGGAGGTGAGCGGAGGGGCCGAGGGTGAGGAAGTGACAAACCAAAAAATACTGACTGAGGTAGCAGTACTCTGCTCAGTGCAGAAAAATTGGCTTATGAATAAAATTAGACTGTGATATCAAATTAAATCCAGATGATCATGCAAAAGACACAACACATGCTATTTAGTTTTAGAAAAAACCACACACATTCCTCGCCTAAAATCTGCTGCCAATTAATTGCTGACAATGTCTGCTGGCTCAGCTATTTTTTTTTTTTATACAAGGACGAGTATCAAACAGAACACTGTACATGCTTTTTCATCTACAAAAAAATATCTGCATAAAATAGTGTTAGTTCTCTGTACATGTCAATGGACACTTCAATTATGTGTATAAAAAAGGAAAATCCTGCCCCACTGGAGTCAGAAAAAAGCAAAACAAAATCTAGAGTATGAAACCTCCTTCACCAGCCAATCTGTTCATGTGAAAATTCAGCAGAAATAGACAGTTGCTTTAAACAATAAAAAAAATTAATTGATTAAGTTAGACATCTTCTTTAGGCCAGGCTGTCAGTCAAGACCAGAACATGTCGGTGAAGTTAGTGTCTGTGCTATAGACCCAGACCACCAGCGGCACAACGAGCAGCACAAAGGGCCAGGAGATGCCGTCGGTGCACGCCGAGAGCGAGCACGGCCGCGCCGCCGGCTGCACACACTCTTTACCAGGCTCCAGGTAGTTGCGGGCCACGAACTTGAGGGTCTCGTCCATGAGGATCACAGGCAGGGAGATTTTCAGCACCATCAGCCACTGGGTCAAGTTCAGCGGTGTGATCTGGAAGATAAGCTGGAACACAGAGAAGCCCCCTCAGGCGGCCGTCTCATGGGAAGCAGTGCGCCCACCCTGCCCGGGCCCCGTGGGGCCCGAGACCCCGGCACTCACAGGCAGGGGCTCCACGTAGAGGATGAGGAAGTGGAGGGACATGGACAGGCAGATAGAGCCCACGAGCCAGATGTTCTCCCAGGGGGGCATCCTCAGCAAGGACTGGTTTTCAGACAAGCTGTGGACAAGGAGAGGTCTGTGAGGCACCTCGCTCACTCTGCACTGGGCCCTGACCCGACTCCACTGACCACTTTCTCCTGTGGCAAAGTGACGAAAGGGATTGTTCAAATGTAGGACAAACTTCCAATTTCAAATCTAGGCTTCGGCACAGCAGATTCCATTCTGGCAGGCTCGGAGCTGCTTTCAATTGCCCTCGGCACAGTCTATTTAGAAATTTCCATTTTTGTCACTGGCTTAATTGGATGATACTGTTTGTCTCAATGCTAAAGGGCAAGAGCTGCTCCCCACGGGTACCGGCACGCGGGGTGGAGAGTTCCTCCTCTGGGCCCCCACTGTCTCGCAGGACGAACTCCTGGCAGCACGTGGCTTAGCTCCCACTTCTTCCAAGGTGACGATGTTCGGCTTTTAAACTGGTGCTGCTCATTCCTGTCTTTTTGGGAGGGAAGCTCTGTCCTGTGCTCTCAGTCAGCCGTGACTCACAGCCCTCAGCGCCCTGCGGTCCCAGCACTTGCCGAGGCTCGCCATGAAGACTCACTCACTCACCTGTTGAGGGCGTTACACATCTCTATGGTTACGAGAACAGAAAGCGCCATTGTCATCGGGTATGGGGATTCAAAGACTGCACAATCCACTCCGTCGAAGTCAGGGTTGTCGTCTTTACACTGTAGGAAGTGACTCTGCAACAGAATGCCAGTCAAGTTCTGGATCAGCCAAGTATCCTTCCAAAGTGCACGTGCTAATCCACACCAAGCCCAGAATGCAGACCCACGTGTGTACACAAGAGCCGTGGGGTTTTACCCATCTCCCAGAGAAGCCCTGGTCCCTCAGAATAACCTCAGATGCAACCTGCTGACTGTACAAGCAACCTCATTGTACAAGCCTTAAAGTTGTTTGATGGATGCCTAAACCACAGGAAAGGTCAAGGACGACTCAAAGCTTTGTAGCTAAGGCACAGGAAAAAGGTGGCTACTACATACCAGCTGGTAGAAGGAAACCCGTGGACCGCCGTCAGCAGCGATAAACCACCATGCAGCAGCACCCACGGTAGCGGCACCAACATAACCTGGGGACAGAACGTCACAGTGCTCACAAACGTGGCTCCTGCCCCACAAGGACACGGAGGAGAGTGTGTCAGGGTAACTGAGCTGTGCACTCCCCCCAGCCAGCTACTGCACACTCACATCCACCACAGCAGCCTGACCACAGGAGGTCTGCAGGGGGAGGGGGTGCTGGCACAGAAGAACCAGCCAACCTTTTCTCCAGAATTTGTGACAAAAGGAACCCACTGAAACCTGTGTCAAGCTTTGCCAAGCTGTGCTGGTCTTTCACCAGCTGCAGGCAGATGTGTGGCCCACACAGGGCAACAGTGCCAGAGGACCAGACCACACCAAGACCACTTTTACTGATGCCACTGGAGGGACGGAAGAGCCCTTACGTGGCAACACCCGTGAAGAGCAGCCTGGCACTTCCTGAAGCCGGCTCTGGAACTAACCCTCCCCACCCCAGTGAGCTTGACTGCAGGACGGTTATTATGCAGAAGACTTCAGAATGAGATAATGTCCCAGTCTGGTAAGACACAAGGTACTATCAAGACACAACAAAGCACCTTCCTATGAGATCCCAGGGATGCTATTTAGTCTCTGGGCCTCACTTTCCTAGCTTATAAGGTGGGAAGAGAACCAGCACCCAGGGTCAGGAGGATGAAGGCTACACAGTGAGCAGAACATAATCTGGCCTGTGGCGGGGCCCACTGCGTGCATGGGGCTCACTGCTGATAAACGCGTAGCTCCCTTCTCTTACCAATCACGGGGATGGGTATTTAGCTTTATATCTTGGTGGTTATTATCCATTCAAGTCTCCTCTACGAGCTTGAAGAGGGCAGGCCCAGCCTGAGTGGTCTGCGTATCCCTTTGCTTGTTGTTGTGGTTAGCTGCTGCTGAGTTGGCTCCGACTCATGGCAACCTTATGGAGAGCAGAACGAAACGCTGCCCGGTCCTGTGTTGCCTTTATGACGGTGGGTATGTTCGAGACCACTGTGTTGGCTATTGTGTCAATCCAGCTCATTGAGGGTTTCCCTCCTTTTCCTCTCCCTTGGCATGTACAGCTAAATTGGAAAACCCTGTGTGGTTGCTCATTCACAAAAGCCAAGGAAGGGCCAAGAATGCTAAGATAAGGGACTAACTACAAACAGACTGTAAGGTACCGCGTGGTGTTAAGCAGCTCATTAAATGCCAGACAGCATCGTACATTTTTTGCTATCCTAACGGGACAGAAGAAAAAGGTGATTTTTACAAAACCAGTGACATGACAAAATTTAGTCCCACAGACATTTTGTTTAAAACCCAATGATACTAAAAAGCTACTCACAGCCAATCGCGAGGTAACGGAAAAAGAGCCACCCACTGATCAGCGGCTCTTTGGGGTTCCGGGGCGGCTTATCCATGATGTCCAGGTCAGGAGGGTTGAAGCCCAGGGCGGTGGCGGGTAGGCCGTCTGTCACCAGGTTGACCCAGAGCAGCTGGACAGGAATTAAAGCCTCAGGAAAACCCAGGGCTGCTGTCAGGAAAATACTGCTCCCACCAAGGAAAGAAGAGGAAGACCTCAGCTTATTTCTGGCTGCTACTTTAATGAGCATCACCACCCATCTCCTCTCTCCACAAAGTTAAGGGACAGCAACAATGGTTGCCTGAAATGGCTGAAAATTCTTTGGGCAATCATTAAACATTATACCCAATTTCTAATTAAAGCTAACTTTTAGAGGGTACGAATTTTGTGCCACTTTATATGGTTAATTTAAACTCATTTCTACACTAAGAAGGGCTCCTTTCTGTGTGCACCAAGGCGGCCAGGGTGGCCCTTCTGAGGACCAGAAGTACCAGGACCATCACAAGGGATTCCTGTGTCCTGCCCGCCCACCCCCACCTCACACACAGAGACCAGAAACTGCTGCACCATGAAAGCCAGTCAGCACAGTCTCCAGTCCTAGCTAGATACAGAAAGAGAAGTGGCCCTGTCAGAGACCCACCAGACGACCTCGCCGACGTTGGACGAGATGAGGTAGCGGATGAACTGCTTCATGTTGTTGTAGATTGCCCGTCCCTCCTCAACAGCAGCCACGATGGTGGAGAAGTTGTCGTCGGCCAAGACCATCTCGGAGGCGGTCTTGGCCACGGCAGTGCCAGAGCCCATGGCGATGCCGATCTCAGACTTCTTCAGAGCGGGAGCATCGTTCACACCGTCCCCTGTCTGCAAGGGAGACACAGCCGGGTTTACAGACATCTGCACCCAACACCCAGGAGGAGCCAGAACAGGGACCGAGCCGTGGTCTCTGGGGAATGGTATCTGTGTGCCTGTACGCAGTATGCAGTATTTATGCATGTTTCTGAACTTGATAAATTGTATGGTATAATGTACATACTTCCATGGTCTGCAGCCATTCTATTTGAGATTATCCATGTGGATATAAGCACTTCATCTTCACTGCTCTACGGGGTGTTTTTTCATAAAAAGTCCAGATAAATCTGAAGCTCCCTTAGTTCACTCTCCTCTGGAGTCCCGTTTGTAGCCTCACTTGGCAATTTCACACTCCACGTAAAATTTGTTTTCTGAAAGCAGCTTATAAGCAGTGAAGATGAAGAACTCATGCAAAAATACTAAATACTTAAATGAGAAACTATTTTGTTCTGTAAGCCTTCATCTAAAGTGAGAATAGCAGCACAACTGGAAAAGCGTAGTCGATGTCACTGCACTGTGCATGTAGAAATTTTTTGAAATGGTGTATCTTTGGCTATGTGTATTTTCAACAACAACAACAAAAAAGGTCGAGAAGGGGGAGGGTTGACATGTCGTGGGGCTGTTAACCAATGTCATAAAAAACAATCATAAAACAATATGTGTACTACTGTTTCATGAGAAACTATTTGTTCTGTAAGCGTTCACCTGAAGTACAATAAAAAAAAAAAATACTAAATACTGTTTACAAATACATAAAGTCATTCCCAGGTCTGCGTGTTAATACTTTATTAGTACACAAATTCAGAATGGTGCTACCTCTGGGAGAAGGCGAGGGAGGAAAAGGGGCAAGGGAGGGATACAACTGGAACACCTGGTTGAAAAAATTTAATTTTTTAAAAAGTTAATGTAGAAAGCAAAGTGGTAAGCAAAGTGGTAACAAGTTAATTCTGGTTGAAAATCAGGAGAGGAAGAAGCCAGGAAACAGCTTCATGAGCAGGCACTGAGAAAACATTTCACCAGGACATTTTATTGAAGGCAGAGTTAGCCAAAGGCTGGGTGACAGAACGCTAACTTAATTACACCCTGAAGCAACTGTTAGAAAATTTAAGATAAAAAACACAGGTATACTTTAACCAAGACAAAGACCAGACGTCACCAAATATTTCCTATCTATCTGACTGATTCAGAAGGCACTTCTGGGTCCGAAACTATTCTAGGATCTTCCCTGCAGGCAACATGCATCGTGCCAGCTATGGGTCAATAGGATTCTAGAGAAGTAGCCCAGATTAAAACAAAATCAAGAAATTACAAATCGGGGAGCTACTGCTAAACATTTAATGGTCAAAATTAGAGTCTGCTGTGTATGTGCAATCTGAATCACCCCGTAGGGTACTGTCCAAGGATACTCACCATAGCTGTAATCTCATCAAAAGACTGAAGAAACTCTACGATTTTCGACTTGTGGGAGGGCTCCACGCGAGCAAAGCAGCGGGCAGTCAAGCAGGCATCCCTCTGTGCCGGGGGACTGAGCTCGTCAAACTCCCGGCCTGTGAAGGCCTTCGATGTCACATCCTCTTCCTGCCCAAAGATGCCGATTCGGCGACAGATGGCCACAGCGGTGCCCTTGTTATCCCCTGTGATCATGATGACACGGATGCCTGCCTGCCTGCACAGCTTCACTGACGAGGCCACCTCAATTCTCGGGGGGTCCAGCATGCCCACACAGCCAACGAAGGTCAGATTGGTCTGAATTAAAAGAATCGCTTTATTTTCAAATAGGAAAGTCTGCCCTCCCCCCCCGCCACCTCAACATCAAGAGCAAAAGATTGTCCATTTTCTCTTTTTCAATACTTTTTTGTTATTGTTGAGAATGTACACAGCAAAACATATACCAATTCAACATTTTCTACATCTACACTTCAGTGACATTGATTGTATTCTTCAAGTTGTGCAACCATTCTCACCCTCCTTTTCTGAACTGCTCCTCCCCCACTAACATGAACCTGCTGCCCCCTAAGTTTCATCCCGTATAGATAGATCTTAAAAGAGCACAATGCTCAAGGCAGACATTCTTGACTAGTTAAGCCAAACTATTGTTTGGTTTTAAGATGTCAGGATATTTTTGGTTTGAGGTTTAAAGATTATCTTAGGGCAGTAGTTTCAGGGGTTCATCCAGCTTCCATGGTTCCAGAAAGCTGGATTCCACGAGAATTTTAAATTCTGTTCTGTATTTTCCCCCTTTTGATCAGGATTCTTTTATAGAAACTTTGATCAAAATGTTCAGTAAATGGTACCTGGGCACCATCCAGTTGTTCTGCATTTTCTTATGACATAAAAAAATTCTCCAATTTTACTTGACTCTTATCATCTAAGAATAAAAGTCACAATATTGATATAAAATAGTATCAATTCCAACTGATCAGAAAAAATTAAAAAAGCCACTATACCCTTGTTACCAAATCATTCTTTAACTCTCATAATGTTGTGAAATGGGGGAAAAAAAACACCCTGGTAGTAAGAACATCTTGAAATTGGCCATCAAAGCTTGTTCATTTCATTCAAAGCTTTAGGGGCCCACATCTACTATGAGCAGAAAAGCAGCAGACGGACTTTTTTCAACCTGGACATTTTAACCTTCAATAACTAATGAATATTTTCAAACAATCCTAATTAAAAAAAAAAACAAAAATAACTATCTACATGAAATTTGCAAAACAGGTTTCACAAGCTCATGTAGCTGACATCTTGATTATTCTACTTTTACAGTAACAGCCTTTTCTTAAAATGTTAACTAGTATATGTTTGATACAGGAACCTAAGTTTTAAGGCTGACGCACGTGGCCCATGGCTGAACAAATCACCCCACCTCTTTCTTGGCAAAAGCCCCAAACCTTGACCTTTTACTTGAAGGCAAGCTCTCTGCACACGATGAGCATGCAGGGTAAGACCAAGAACCACTCACCTCGTATTTGATGAAGTTGGCAGAGTCCTCCAGGTTCATCTCTTCTCTCCTCAGCGGGTTGTCGTGAGTGGCCAGAGCCAGGCAGCGCAGGGTGTCGCTGCCACTGCCCCACTCCCGAATGACAGACATGATCTTCTGCTTGACCCCAGGGGTTATGGGAACCTTTGTGCTTCCAACTCGAATGTGGGTACACCTGTCAATTACACCCTCGGGAGCGCCCTGGAAATAGAGGTTCGGATGAACAATTCTGTTAGCTGGCTCAAGCGGGACCCTGGTCCTGGTGAGAACGGCTCGATTTCAGGGTGTGTACTTGCCTTCACAAACATCTTGCTCATTGATGTTCGGCTCGGTTTGTTCGGTGTACAATAAACCGACATAGATTTTCTATCGCGTGAAAACTCTAGGGTAAATTCTTTTTTCATCAACTGTTTAATGACCTATTATAAAGAGAATATGCAATTATTTGTACAACCATTTAAAAAAAAATTTCACTCACTCAACAAATGTTCCACTGAGTGCATGTTACATGGCAGCCATCAGGGACAGAGCAATGGACAGACAGACACGTTCTTGCTCTCCTGAAACCTGCACTCTAGTTTGGGAGAGAGAAACTAGAATGTAAAATAGAGAAAGTGCTCCACAGGAGAAAGATGTGGCAGTCTGCCTCCATAAAGATTACAGCCTAGAAAACTATGGGGCAGCTCTACTCTGTCACATGGGGTGGCTGACTCGCCAGCATACAATGGAGAATGGGGACAGAACATTGTGTACCTGTAGACTGCAATGTTTATAAATAGAGGGTCAGGGAGAGCCTTAGTAAGACGACAGGCAGAGAACAGTGGGCACAGGCCAAGTGCATGCTCACGTTCAAGGTGCTGCCAGGAGGTCAGATGGGGCGGCAGAGTTTGTAGAGAGAAACAGGGAGGAAGTTGGAGAGGCCATGGCAGGCTGCGGCAGAGGCAGGTTGTGGGCTCTTGAGAGTTGCTACGAGGCAGCTGGCTTTTATAAACGGGAAGACAACGCAGGGTTCTGTGCTCCAGCTGCTGTGTGAAGCAAGGCGGAAGGGGAGTGCAAACAATCCAAGGGTGGTGACTTGGACCAGGTGACAGCACTGGAGGGGGGTGGAGGCGGTCAGGCTCAAGCAAGGCTGTCCAACGACAGAAATGTTCCATCTGCACTGTCCACGTAGCAGTCACATGTGGCTAGCTAGTGTGCCTGAGAACCCGTTTCTACTTCCTTTAAATAGCTTTGTGAGGCTAGTGACTGCTGTATTAGACTTTGGCACACTGACAATACATAAGACCCGACTTGGGAATAACTACAGACAGAAAAGGCCCTGGAGCCTCACCACCTGTCGCAAAGGGGCCCAAGGAGGCAGCCAGTGTGGGGGGACCCCAGTGTGGTATCCTGGAATCAGGTGAAACGGTGCTGTGAGAGATCAGCAGTATCAACTGATATAGGTCAGCTCAGATCAGGGTGGGAACTAACCATGGACTTAGACCCTGCAGGGTTTTCAAGGAACAAATCCTGCCGCCTACAACTCCCCGCTCCCTTCCTCCTTTCCTCATCTCCCCTCTTGCCCTTTCCCCTCTTGCCTTACTGCGCAGACAAGGACAGCCCCTGTAGTACTGAGCAGAAAAGTTCACAGTGGAATCCTTCTCCTGCCACCACTGCACATGACATTAGTTTTTCATAAATATATCAGCTTGAAGACCTGCTCTTGCATTCCTAGTCTGCTGAATAATTATGAACAAAGATTAAATTTCTAACAGAAGCTGTTCTTGCATGTATTGAGATGACTATAATGGTTTTCTGCCTTCATTTGGTTGATGTAAATTACATTTCTTTCTTTCCACTAAGACTAATATTTAATAATAATCAAAGAAACCCCAAAGGACCTCAGTATCCTTTCTCAGGTGCTGTGTAACTGATGCCGGCAGGTTGGGTTTTTAGGCTGGGTGGACTCAGCCATCCTGAGCCACCTCCGGTAGCAGAGGATCAAGGTGTAATCACTGTGCCTACCCATGTGTTCTGACAAGCTAACCGGAGGAAGAATAAAGGGGTGTGTGGTGACTCTGAGAAAGGTGTGGACCCTGCAGCAGAGCGACCCCGGGGGAGAAAAAACAAAGTCACGTCTTCCATCAGGATGGTCAGGAGTGGTCGTGCTGTCCAGTGGCCCACTAGGGCGGAAAGCTTAGACCCTGCCCTGTCTCTGAGGAGAGGCAAGGCGTTTCCCCAGTGACTGAGCACCACGACGCAGTCATCTCTGATGGCTTCCTCTAGCTGCTGTGAAAAGGATAAGGCAGGGAAGCCGAGGAGCGAGGAAACAGCGGGTCCGGCGGCTGAGAGCAGGCCCAGCCTGGCCCTGGCTTGTGCATCCCTGGTTGTGCACCGCACGTCAGCCCCAGGAGGCTACTTGTTTATTGCCATGAGGAGGTGCAGTTCCAGGTCTTGAATGAAGCAATTCTAAACCTGTCTGGAGAAGCTGAGTTTTCAGGTTGCCTCCGAGGTATTTAGTCACACCACCTAGTAAGAGATGGCACAGGTGGTGTGGCTCTGCCAGGATTCGCCTCCTTGGTTGTTGGTGATCAAAGAGGTGGCTGTTGTTAGTTGAGGTCATTGCTCTCAAATGGAGGCAGGAGCCTGGACTGTCCCAGTTTTACGGAGGCCACTTAAGATGGGGCAAGAATCCACAGGAGTTGCCCACGACCCTCATGGCTCTGAGACTTCTATTTGTGAATCATGAATCTGTCTACTGTGACATAATCTATACTTCTATACTCAATTCTTCTGAGTTTTGTTCTCTAAGGACGTCATAAAGCTGACAAAATGATGTAAAGGACAAGAAGGGCAATGCAGTGAGAGTCCGGTTCTGCCCGACACTAGCTGGGAGACCACAGGCAGGTCATGGCTCAGATTGGGCTGGATGGTCATCTTGAAGCCCTTTTCACAGCTTGAGGTTTTGTGTGGTCACTAAAATACTTGAATGGCCGAGGCCTGGGAGAACACAGGTGCACATACTGCCCCTTCTCCAATCTGGGCTGGCTTTGCTCTGACTGTGGTGTCGCCCTAGTCCCCAATATCACACTGGCTAGATAAAAGGATTTGTGACACACGAAAGCATAAAGGTAGCCACAGCTTACCATTCAGTAGAAATGAGCCTCGCCCTTACACAGCTTCGCATGAACAACCAGAAAGGCTGTATCCACCTCTCCTCACACCAGGCCTCAGCCTTTAGGAATGTAGGAACATCTGATCTGGTTTACTGCCCACCTCCCATTTTTCCTTATTCAACCAGGGAACTCTGAGAACAAAGAAGCCCTACAAAGAAGTCTCAAGTACCAACTGGCAGCCATTGATGAAGGCAGGCAGGTCTGGCACTAAAAAGAGAGTGTGACCTGCAGAACCCAATTCCATGAGTCCACGCTCCAGGCTGGGCAGGCAGGTGTCAAGGACAGGTCACTGCCGAGGCCGGTCTAGAGGGGCCCCCGAAAGGTCTTGCAGCTATGACCCAACAAGCCAGCAGCCCACCTAACACCCAGAGAAGCAGCAGCAGCTTCTGCACAACCCAGGGCTGGGGATGTTCCCAGGGGGGTGGCTGGCAGAGGTGAGAGCGAGACTTAGATTCCAGGGCTTGATTTGTTTCCTTCGAGGGTTTATGTGCTCCTGCTCAGCTGCTCCAAGGGCATCCTCCTCCTTTCTCCAATACCCTGTCTGTCCGCTCCTGCTTCTGCAGTCTGGCCCTACATGGCCCCTCTGCCTCTCTCGCTCCCGGCCAGCCTGCACAACTCTCCTGTACTCTCACCTGTCTGCACGCTGTTCTTCATCCAGGTCATCAGCAAGCGCTTCGGCCAGGAGAGGCTAAAGGAGGACAGTTGTCTTTCAGGTCCAGCCACCACAGGCTCTGGAGCTGAGCAAAGAGGCAGGCGGGGTGGGCAGCCCGTTGCTGAGACCTGGGGACTAGAGGTGGCCAGAGTCCATCGGTAGCTGCTGTAGCTTTTCACTTAGGTCTGGATTTGCCACAGAAATCCCACGGTAGAGTAGTTCACTGCAGGACAGATCTAATCTGGTGGCCTTTGGGAGGGCAGCCAGCTCCTTGATGGGGGCCTTGTTCACATCACGAAGGCTCAAGTCCAGCAGGTGGTTGCAGAGGCCCCCATCCTTGCCTTGGTCTTAGTGATGGCGGCTTCGACAGGCAAGAGAAGGGGCTGACAGGCCACTGTCTGTTCAGCAGACCTGCAACCCTCCACAGCCACCATCACACCATGCTCTGCTTCCCCTGGTGCTGCCACACTGACTTGAATGTTCAACTAACTGCATTCATGGGAATCCGGCTTGGTGATGCTGTGTGAGCCTTTTAACGTATTATCTGACTCTGTCTGCTGTCGCTGGTTTAGGGCTGGTGCATCTATCTCAGGGACAGTCGCCGTGTGCGACTGCCTTTCCCTGCAGTGTCCGCGTCAGGCGTCAGGATCGGGGCTCGCCGGCCTCACCAGACGAGTTAGACGTTCCCTCTTCCTCTTTCTCTTCTTTATTATCCGAGTCTGCGTAAAGGTGGTGTTATTTCTTCCCTAAATATTTAGCGGTTTATCAATGAAATCAATTAGGCCTGGAAAATTCTTGTGGAAGTTATTTGATTTCTGAGGGATGTGTTAATTTCTTCTAAGTAGTCAAATCTATACGTATAAAGTTGCTTTTAACTGATTTACGATTTTGTCTTTATTAGTTTTTTCTACTTTGTATTTAATTTGCTGGTTTTCTAGTTTGAGGTGGATTTTAAATGCGGATTATTTAGCTTCCAAACACTTGGGGAATCAGCTAGTTATCTTTTTGTTATCGATTTCTACTTTAATTCCATTGTGGCTGGCAAATATAGTCTGTACCAATGCAGTCCTTTGTAATTTACCGAGTCTTGCTTCGTGGACCAGCAGCTGGGGTCTGTTTTGGTGAATGTTCCCTATGCATTTGAAAAGCCCAGTGGGAGCAGCGTGACAGGACTGCACAGCAGGCTGAAGACATTTACAGTGTTGTTCCAGCCTTCCACAGCCTTCCTCATTGTCCATCTGCTTCGCTGAGACAGAAATTACCCTGTCAAAGTCGCCAACTCTGACCGTGGTTGTGTCTCCTCCTTTTACTTCTGTCAGTTGTTACTCCGTGTACTTTAACTGTGCTATCAGGGGCATACACATAAACGCGTCGGCAACGGGCTTCAGCATAAGGTGACCTTGACAAGGAAGGTGCTCATAGAGGCAAAAGATGGACTGGCGTGGATTCAAAAAATGGGGGCAGTAAAATGAGAGTACACAAAACAGCTCTTTTGAAGAGTTCTACTGTCAAGGGAAAGGAAGAAGTGAGGTGGCTGAACAGAGGAAAAAGTTTAAAGATAAGAACAAACCATTTTTTCTCCTATGCTGATGAAGACCCAGTGGAGACGGGAAGTTGACACTGATGCACAGGGAGGGGTGAGGGCAGACCTCGTGGGCACAGGGGCTGCTTGTGGAAACGACCTAGTGACTGCTTTTACTTTCTTGGTAGCAGACAGCAAAGCCATTTTACCTGAGAGTGAATGTGGGGAAGGAGATACTGCAAGTTTTGCGAGTTTGAGGAGACAAGGTATAACCTGTTGTCTAAATAGTAAGAGAGTAAATGGACTAGGGAGATAGACGGTGTGACTACTGACAGACAACATGAACAACACACCAAATTCTAATACTGACCGAGTTGCAGGCGTTCGCACGTTCTATTTTAGACAGACCCTTCAATTCCGTATCGAATACGTTCATCTTCTCTACCAGACATGTGAGTGCAGTCTCTGTAGCTTCTCCAACTTTTTCATACACGCCCTTCGCCTGTATTGGGTGAAGGTGGGGAAAGTGGCAAAGGGAAGGGAACAGACAAATTTCTCTTTAATAAAAAGTTTTCCACAGAAGGACACCTGTCCTCCAGGCATCTTTAGTCTATGGGCCATTTTTATCCCATGATGGAGGACGTGACCCAGATACATAAAATACGCTCAAAGCACAGGTATGCATTTTCTTATTATAATAATTAGGTTTTTCGTGTCCTTTAAATGTTAAGAAGTCACTAATCACAGTATTTATTAAGTAGAGTTTTCACATGGTATTTGTAAGTCCTTATCACTGCTTATCATTTGAAAGAGTTTACATTCTATTCTGATGGGGACTGCCTTGACTTTGAGATAGAAACCGAAGGATTTCCCTCACTATTTAAATATTTGTTCCATTGGTTAAATTTTCTATTATCTTAGTATCAAAACTACCCTCTAAGCCACACCTTGTCCTCAAAGATGTAACGTTACTCATCTTAAAACGCACAATCAAATACCCTGTGTTTTCATGAAAATATTTTCCATCTTGGGTTTCATTCACTTAGGATAACCATACTAGTAACTATACTAGAATAACCATACTAGTAACTATACTCGAAACAGCCCAGGACAGTATGTTCATTATACTCTCAGTTAAGTAGTTGCAAGGCCCAGTTACAGAGGACATACCAAGGTGTTCCGTTTTCTGGCTAGGTCAGGCTGGCCCTGATATAGATAGGCCCTTGAATGGAAAGGGGAATTAAAATCAGGAACTCTTACTTTCAAAAGGGCAGAAGGCAGGGCCGGCTGGATTTTCATTCCACCCACCCCACCCTTGAACTAGGCATAATAATTAAAAAAACCAAACCTGTTGCTGTCAAGTTAATTCCGACTCACAGCGACCCTACAGGACAAAGCAGAACTGCCCCATAGGGTTTACAAGGAGCGCCTGGTGGATTCGAGCTGCTGACCTTTTGGTTAGCAGCCAAGCTCTTAACCACTGTGCCACCAAGGATCCATGAACTAGGAATAGCCAGGTCTAATTTCTTACCTCATTGTAATCCAAAGCAGAGTCATTACAAAGAGCACAAATAGTTGCTAATTCTACAAGACCATCATATTGATGACATCTCACTGGTTTATCATCTTTATGCCTGTCAAAAGAAAAAAAAGGACCCTTAGAGCACAGTCTGGCCATAGCTACTGATTTTAAGTGATCGCTCTTGGAAAGCTTATGGTAGAGTCAACGCTAGACAATAACAAAAACCTTCTGGTATCAGGACTCAATTTTTGGGACAGACCCAAAATTCTTGGGAAATTCCCCCCGACCACTGGTATCAGTGAAGAACAAACAGAAACACCATTTGAAAATTTCAGCTTCGAGGCAATGAAGGTGAAAAAGGCCACCGGCTTTTAACTGTGTTTTCTCTTTCCAAGTGTGCATTATAGTTCCATAGTGTGTGTGTCCGTGGGGCGGGGGGAGTAGTGCTCTAACGATGGGTAGCTACGTGAGTCACGTTCAGAAAGCTGTCTTAGCTTTTTAGATACACTGCAAACCGATACAAATACCAGCCCTGCCACAATGGGGTAAAGGGGGCTACTCACACTTCTCCTATAGGTGCGTATGTTGAGCCAGTTATGGTAAACTCATGAAGAGAACAACTATCTCCTTCAACTCTGTCCAGAATGAACATCTGCAAACAAAAAGTATAACAGCAATTAAAAGGAATCAACTATTAACTAGAAAAGAGCATATGCTTAAGGCAAAAAGCCATTCTCATTTAAGAAAAATTTTAACGAGAGTCATTAAGTGAAGCTCAGCATGAGAAGTGTTGTCCCTTAGTTATTTCAGATGCCTCCCCATCCCGTCAGTCTTAACTGTGAGAAATACCATCACTGATGTGATGAATTAGTAAAAAGCAGCAGTGGCACCAAAGACAGAGGACAACCTACATACAGGACACTCGAGTTAGGAGGACTCTGGGCCAGCAAAAACATCACTTCCAAAGACAGCACTGCCCTCCAGAATGCTCTGAACTCCACATTTCAAATGCTGGCTAAGAAACTGGGATCAGGTAGTCCTGCCTTAGAGTAAAAGCCTGGGAGGAAAAAACTCACATTTCAGAGTTGAGTAAACATTCCCTCAGTAAAATAAGACAAACAGCTTCTCTGTTCCTTCCCACTTATTTCTACTGTGGCAAAAGCTCATTTTCTATGCAGCTGTACAACACCATGTATACAGTAACGAGCCCTCAGAACTGATGTTCCCAGGGCAATACAGGCAGAAGCACGCTCAGAAAACAATTCCTAATTTTACAGAATAAAGTTAACATGAGCAACTTTCTTAAGGATGACGTATATATTTTGGTTTGTTTCCCAATTTTTCATTTCAGAAGCCCAGTTTGGAATAATAAGCTTTCATTTCATAGCATATTGAAATGAAACTGTACAAGCTTTTCTTAAAAAACAAAGAAAAAAAAATGATGCCTCATTTGTACATTTTCATGCCAAAATCTCTCTGAAATATGGGCAATTAAGAATAATATGATCAAGCCATTCTGCAACGAGGTATTTTTAAAATGTTAAAAAAAATCAGGAAGAGCCATGCTGTGCATTAAAAATGTCTTTTCAGAGCACTCACACTCATATTCAATAAGAAAATCTGTATTTTAAAATAACTTCTTTTGCTTCAAGATTTACCTGTTATATAGCACATACTTTTAAATATTAAATTCCAAAGGCTTCATTTCAAAAGCATACTCAGAACTAAATCAACGCTATGATATACAAAATGATTTTTTAAAAATATAATGGAATTTAAAACATGCAATGACTCTTATAAAGGTTACAGTTCAAGCACACAGCATGTCCAATGAGGAAGAGATTCATGTCCAGAGTCAGACACAGCAGGATCTCTGACTCCTACGGTATTTTTTCTAACAAATACAATACCTAAAAAATAAAGCTTGTCAAAATTGCTCTTTGCAAAGATGTTTGGCATTTTGTAGCAGAGACAAAGTATAGAAGTTAAATGATGTGTTCAAGGTCACACAATTAAGTGGAAGAGAGAGGACCAAGATTAACTACAGGTTTACCTTTTATTAAAAGTTATGTGACACTCAGACTTTTCACTTAACCTCTAAAAGCCTTACTTTTCTAACCTCTTGAGCAAGACTGCCATTAAGAGTCAAAGTCACGTGTGAAAACTAACTGCACTAACCAGTATCAAATCAAGCTGGTATTATTACACACCATGCTATTTCTTTAACAACACTGGTATAGGCCCAAAGAATTTCACTTTTCATAGAGTCCACACTGACTTATGCACTTATTTTAGGTTGTGAGCAAGGAAACCAGTCAGGAGCTCCATGATGAACGTGCCCCCAAGTCAAGGGCAGTTACGCAACACACTGCAAGGCGCCTCCCGTGGAATACTGATGAGCACCAGTTTCTGGTGCTGAGGTGGAACACAACACCTACCTCAGAGCAGGCCAGGTTTTTCTTTAACAAAAGAAAACATTTTAAATCAAACCATTTAAAGGAGACTAAAAAGAATAACTATTATAAAAATGGACTCAATTTTTTCCATAGTTTGAAAATCTGGTCATTATAATTTCACACACTGCTTACTTTCCTGGAATACTTTCCTGGAATAAAGACTGAGGAATTAAGACTGAGGAATTACAGCTTTCAGGCTAAGTTTAAACAATTTACGGAGGGAGAACTAAATATTAAGCATGAAATTCCCTCTCTTCCCCCCAAACAACCAATGTGACAAAACTAGCTTTAGGCCAATTAAGGGAACCTTTTTTGGGTCCAAGGAGTGAGAACTTAAGCAGATCAGTCAAATCCCTCAGCTACTGAAGAAATGTAGGACAAACCCAGAAGCCTACTTACTTGAGAGCCACATACCCCTATTTGTTTTAAACACCCATCCATCAATTCTAAACCTGGGTTTGGACTAGACAGAGAATTTAAAAGTGGCAAGATAAAGATTCAGAGGTTTTAATTACGTTAATAAAGATTCAGAGAGGTTTAATTACGTTAAAACTAAAATTATTTCCAGTGATAAGAAAAATTACCCCAAACCTATAAACAGGACCAAGAGGATGACTTATGCCTCTCAATGTCCTACAGAAGCATTACTTAACAGAGGTGATTTAGTTTTCTAGGGAAATGGAACACTGTGTGACTCTGCTATTTATTATTAATTAAGGGCTCGTATTAAGTCCTGGATTTGTGCACTGTAGAGAAGATAACCTAGAATTTTCTTGTCCTGTAGGACACCAGCCAGGTTTGTAATCTAACCTAGCAATCCTCTTCTACTATTCTTTTCTTGGCCTATGGACACCCAGTTCCTCAAGTGCTCTTGTAACCAGTTTTGCCATTAATAATGGTTTCCTCATTAATGAACCAAATAAAATCTCTGACACGTGTTCATACTATGCTTGTTCGAGTAGATGTTGACCTTTTGGAAAGTTACACTCTGGCTACAAAGCTGTTTAAATCAAACCTAGGGACATTAAATTTTATAGAACCACCAGAGCCATTTACAGAACGCCTATAAGGCAATTCCCTAATACAAGAATGGCGGCTGTGTAGAGGTCCTGTATTGTATGAAGTAATTTTAGGAATTAAATTATTAATTCCTCTGAAGTACTGGAAATTATCTTGGGCTCCAGGCTCCAAACCCAATGGAATTTGTTTAAAGTACATAAAAAGGTATCAAATTATTATCAAATTATAGATAAAAGGTTTTGATTGTATGAGGGATGATTCTTAAGATGGATAAAGAACAACAGGCAGGAAAGATTCTTAAATGAATCTTACCCGGCAGACCGACATCTGGTTCGTTGTAAGTGTACCAGTCTTGTCCGAGCAGATAACAGAAGTACAACCAAGGGTTTCCACCGAGGGAAGGCTTCGAACAATGGCATTTTTCTTTGCCATTCTGCGCGTTCCAAGGGCCAGGCAGGTGGTGATGACAGCGGGCAGACCTTCGGGAATGGCTGCAACAGCCAGGGCCACTGCAATTTTAAAGTAGTAGATAGCACCTCTGATCCAGGAGCCTCCGTGAACGGGATCATTGAAATGCCCAATGTTTATGATCCAGACTGCGATGCAAATGAGGGAGATGACTTTTGACAGCTGTTCTCCAAACTCATCCAGTTTCTGCTGGAGGGGCGTTCTCTCCTGCTCCGTTGCCACCATCTCATCCCGGATCTTGCCAATCTCAGTGTTAACTCCAGTTGCCACCACCACTCCCATGGCTTTTCCAGCTGCAATGTTTGTGCCCTGGGGCAGAAGCAGAGGGGGAACGGGTCAGAGGATGGAGAGCTGACTGACCAGTCAACTCTGGTTTTGTGGACTTTAAGGCACCCGGTTTCTCTCGCATATTCTACTGGGTCTTTCTGTGGCTACTGTTGAGGCAACCAGCCACACAACTCTGCTAATGAGCAATACTTCATAAAGACAAGGTGGCAGGTCTTTCCCTCATTCCAATTCCATGCAGGCACCTACTTCCCACAGTGAAGCTCTACAGAGAATCCCCTGGAATCTCTGCTTCTCAGTGGAACCTCGCTTGCAGACTTGCTTCGGGCTTTAGCAGTGTTCTACCGCCTCTGCATTCCCCGGTTTCTCAAACTCCACACTTCTCTCAACCCCTAAGCCTTCTCCTCCACCTCTGGCAGCAACAGCTCAAACTCCCCTACTTTGACCAGCTGTAAGTCAACCAGCCCCACGGGTGTGCCGCCTTACGACCTCCACTCAAGCACCAGTGTTCAAATTCAACAAAATTAAATGCGAGAGTTCTCACCCTGCCCCATTTTAATTCCTTACATTATAATGACATTGCTTCTTTATGTTCATTTTAATGATCTAGTACATCACTTACTACGGGTGGTTAGTCTCCTACATTAAACCACAAAAGCCTACCACTTGAAATTTTTCAAATCAACAAAGAAACTGAATTAGTGCATCAAACATCCACATGTTCAATGGAAAACTCATCCATATGAGTTTCACCTAGGCTCACTAATTACTGTGTTGCTATATTTGCTCTCTCTCTAAACACATCTTTTTTGTTAACTACATACAAGCAGCAGACATCATGGATATTTTGAAAACATCCTTTACAGGCTAAAGCTTTTCCACAGAAACCCAAAGCAAACCCGTTGCCGTTGAGTCGATTCATAGTGACCCTATAGCTTTAAAACTATGTTTACAGGTAAGAACGTAAAAGATATCTGACCTGATCATTCCCCCCCACCCCCTGCAAAAACTTAGCCAACTGAAAAAACCACAAAGTCACACACTCCACATTTACACAGTATTGCTGTTTGCTGCCAGCTGGGCCTGACCACAGAGAAGCGCCGCCCTTTGGAACAATCACCACCTCTTCTTTAAGCCCGGCCACTGTAGGGAGGCAGTGACTACTGAAACACCTTGAGAACAGCGCCAAATAAAAATCAGTTTATGAAGGACTCACAGAAAACAGCATGTTCTTCTTATCTTGGTTGACAGCCCGTGGGTCAGGGACGGGGTCGGTGTGCTTGATGACAGAGACCGATTCGCCTAGGCAAGTTGTGAGATAGGCCGGTTAGCTCTGTGCTGTCCACACCAAACCTGGAGCGCTCCTACCTGCCAGCTCACCCCACTCCACAATATGCCCAGTACGGGAAACGGACAAAAGGCCCAATTCATTCAGAGGAAGTAAACACAGCCTCTACTGATAGAAACTAACTCTACAGGAAAAAATTACTGTCAGGATTAAAATGAATACAATTTCAAAATGCAGGAACTTAACTCTGAAGTAAAATCCCAGTCAACTGCCTTTATTTTCTGGAGTAACTACTCAAATTTAGTTTATTTTCAGTATCATTTTCTACTATAACACATGTATTGTGTGTATACAGTACTTAAACAGCAACCTGCAGTTGCACTGCAAAGACCACATGGTGTCAATGACTAACTTTTAAAATACCTTAAGTTTGGCTTCAAACTCAGGGTCAATCCGAGTGGCTCCAACTGTTCACCTCAAATTACCTGAAGCAGACTTCACTCTCAGTACTCGATAAAAGAATCTGATTCTCAATCTGGCCTAAAACTACAGTATGATTAACGAAAGCAGATAATCAAGAGCCTCTATGAAGTTTTAAAATGGCAATTAGTTCTGTAGGGCACAATGAGAATTTCATACACACAATCTGCCCAATTCTCCAACATTTTATGGCTTAATTAGTTTCCAGCTTGCTGCTGCTGATCGGAGTTTTAATAGACAAGCCATTCATAAAGAAACAATAAAAAATAGAGAGCCCAGGTTACTCACATCACTACGTTTATAATACTAGTTGTTTTTAAAAACTGAAAATCAGAAAGAAAATCTCGATCACCTTTAAATTTCGTATTTACTCACAATTTAATTCATGTTAGCATTGTATTAAAGTTAGTCTTCTGACAACCTTATTTCCAGTTAATAGGAACCCTCCACCCTAGACTGTGCCTTTATCAAACAAAAATGGGAAAATGTTCCAAACAATCCAGGTAGTAGACTATTTGCCAACTTTTTTGTGCTAACTTTTGTTAATTGTACATTTGATTATTGTGAAGTACATTAGATATGAAATTAGCAATTCTCCAAAGAAAATATTTACAGTCCTGGAACCTATAATGGCCTGGAAAAAGGACACTAAGTAATAACTCACTTTCCACAAAACAAGAAGATACCACCTCAACCTTAAGATTACTACCTCTGCTACTGAAGGGATTTATAACCTTTTAAGAAAAGTAAAAACACAGTAGGGATTCTGTTTTTTACTTTTAAACAAAAACTAATTTTTGAAGAAAATTAAAAGCTAACTAAGTAAGTACCTTATGAGATGAAGGCCAAGTTTGTTTTGTTCTGAAATCACCAGCATGCGTCCCCCTCTTCATGCCTCAAGCCCCCTATATTGGCAACAAGCCTAACTGATAAAGCAGTTAAGACACAAATACCTCAGAGAAGATTAAGATGGGATACCATAAAAGGTATGGTCGGGCAAGACTAAACCTGTTAGCATGAGATATGAGAAAGGCTCCAGAATCTAATGACCTTCCGATATATAGTATTTACCTGTGAGAATTGACTGGTCTACTCTTAGAGTTGTAGATTTGATAGAAGTTAGTCTTATATCAGCTGGAACTTTGTCACCAACTAGTTGGGGGAAAAAAGGCAGGTAAAATAAGCAATTTGGCAATCATGTTACATAAAGAAGAGTTTGTCTGGAAATTAAACACATTTTTAAAAGAAAAAAGTGTTTATACAGTACAAACATACAAAAATCTGTTAAAACAAGTGAGATAATTAACTTATCTCAGGGCCATAAAAACTAACTAGGTTTTGAGTTACACAGGAAGAGAATAAGGACAACCTCCAAGTGCATGTTATTTTTGAGTTCAAGTGCACATTATTTTTTTTTAAAGAGCTTAGCTATATATGCTCAGACAGGCCTCCAAGCTTTCACTTTGAAGACTACTTTTCTGTTCAGCAAAATTAAATAATTTATATAATATTTTTCTTAGGACTTATTACATACATACAAGGGGGTGAGTTCAGAGATATATCAAAACAAACAACTACAAAGAGATATAATCACTTTTTACCTAACAAACTGACAGACTTGAAAGAGTTGAGAAAATACACCAGGTTAGCAGAACAGGAGAACCATAAAGTCTGGACACTGGGCAGTTTTATTCAGTAAAAAGACCAGAGGCACAAATCACCGGGATGTCCCATCAGTGTGTGCAGCGATGAATGAGAATTGTGACAGTGACTGCCACAAACGCTGGATATATGTCACTAAGCACACCCCGTCTTGCAATGTAATAGGAACAGCCCCTTTAGTATTTCTAACTCACTTATGTTCCCAGACTTCATGGCCACCCCGTGTATGCTGCTGAGTATAAAGGTAACTTGTACAAATTCTCTGGAGGGCAAGTTGGCAGTATTTACCAAAACTGCAGATGCACAATTTTTTAACCTATGAATGCCAGAATTTATTCGGTAGATATGCTCACACAAACTGTGGTTATTCACAGCGTAATTTTTGGTTAACAGTAGAAAGATGAGGAAACTCTGTTCATACTAAAGTGAACTGTAAGATGTACCGTATATTAACTAGGAAAATGAGATGTGAAACATCAAGTATACCACGCTACCACTGGTATAAGGAAACCACTCTGGGCAGGTGTAACACATACAGTAACACTGGGCAGCTAGGGCACGGGAGGGAGGTGGACCTTACACTTTGTACCCTCTGGTTACCTCTGGAATTACCAAATGAATGAAGCTCTACAATAACCTCTTTTCTGGCCCAAACAGTTCCTTTAATAGCTCTTCAAGGGCCCACTTCTGAGCCCTTTCCTTGATCTATATAAAGTAAGATGCCACCACGCAGAGCCGCTAACAGATAAAGCCAGTGCTTCACATGCACCTCAAGAACAGTGCGCAGCACACTGCTGGTGACCCGACACTGCTGGATGAGTGCACATCTGGACCACAGCAACTGGACATTAAAGATAAGCCTACGACAGCTTCCCCTGTCTTTCTGAAAGATAACTAAGGGGTTTTGGAAGCCTTATGCAAAAACAGTTAGAAATCATAACAAGTCTTCCCTAGAATTGCAGATGGTATTTTAAGTCAAATCTTTACTTTCCAGACTTACTCTACATTATAACCTTCTCAGCACTTGCATACAATCTGACAAAATGGCATTCTGTCTAAGAAATAGACTTATTTCACTTGTTAAAATCTTCAGTTTCGTTCCCGTTTGCCTGCACTTTGGAGCTTTTGAATTCAGGGCAAGTGCAGTTTGCTTTTGTATCTCCACTTCCTGAAACAACCCTGTAGCCTAAGTAAGCAGTGTGGTCACAAGGCAGTACAGAAGAGACTGGCAATACATAATCTCAGGAGGCAAAGATCATCCCTGCAGCTGACTGCAGGGACACATTAAGTTAAGGAGAAATTCCTGCTGGAAATGCTTATGCAACGAACAGCAATATTCAGACAGCATAGATTGGAACCTTCCATTTTAACAGAATTCTGTTCATACCCTCTGAAAGGTGAAGTGTCCATATTTTAAACTTTGACCTTCAACAGTTAAATTCTTACCCCCATTAAGATGAAAATTTTAAACCAAATTAAAAGAAAACCTTTATTATGACTGCTTGTCATAAGTAATCTGATCCCACTTGCCCCTGAACATGAAAATACCATGAATTCAATGATGAACATATGATCCCCAATGGAAAAATTATTTTTACTGTCTGAAGCAATTGATAACACTATCCTACAGAAGCAGAAGACAAGACTTCTGTCTGGTGTAGCATAGAGGTAGGTCCCAACAATCTATAAACACGATCACACTGCCACTTTAACAGCTGAGCACATACCAGCCAATTCTAAAGGAGTGTAACGTTCGATTTCATATTGGAAGGTGAATGCCTTTATTCTACTTAAACAATTCCATATATAAATCCTACCTCATACTTGTATACATGTACCCCAAATCTAACATGCAAAATGAGAGCGAACTACAAGACGATGCAAAAGCCATGCCCTGGCATTTATATGGCTGTGTCAGTGGAAGCTCAGAGGACCGGAAATTGACAGAAAATTATCTTCAAGGCAGTAAATATCAAGGTTAAATTTGTTTCCAGGGTAACAGAGCCAACGTATTATTGGTTTAAGGTGGGACCAATACTGTACATGTGCAGTACTAAAAAATATTTATTATAAAGAAACTAACTACCTTCCCCTAAACGTCCATGTAAACATATGAAGAGTATCTCTGCTGTACACAACTGTATGGCTACACATTTGATTCTGGCCAGAAATTCAGTAATGCATCAAAGCTAGAGTAAAACACATGACCTGTTAAGCCCTTAAAAATTGGCCTCAAGCTCTCCTCAAAATTTCTTCTGTCTTACAACTGTCATTCTAATTGTCAGGCAAATATTTAAGAATTAAAGTTAATTTGGGAACCATTCTTCCAAGAGCCTGGTTCAGTGCATTTGGGGTAGAGGCCAGGAATCTATATTTTAGTAAGTTCTCCAGATGAACTAGAAAGATTAGTACAAGAAAACAACCTACAATAATTAGGGTCACAGATCCTGTGAAAGGTTTATTTAGGGTAGTCTTTACTACCTGCTGTTTCTTTGTCCCAGGCGTGCCAGGTCTAGGCCAAGAAGACCCTAAGCTTCACAACACTGGTGAGGTGTACTATATATACTTCAAAGTTTCACGTTTAAATCTGTTTCCATTAGAAACTGATATTTTACTTGAAAGGTACTAAAGCATGAATACAAAATGAGTTTAGAAACATGCCATATTCTAGTATTCTGTAAGCGAGAAGGCCATATTATCCCGACCAACCCATCTTCCCATTTTCGACAGGACATTAAGGGGAAGAAGAAGCAAAAGGCATCTTGCCTCAATTAATGAAAAGACTTCATTTAACTTGTGTGACTCTGCTCCATGCTTTTCGTTTGTCATAGATTCAACTCAGGATCGTGTCCATTAGAAAGCAGGTTCTCTAAGGAGGTGGAAGAGCCATGTAAGTAAAGACCCACTGAATAATTCCCACTCAACAACTTTCCTTTGTCCACAGGCTTCTGTGAATTTCAGGTGGTTCTGTACACGGGAAGCAGGCAGTCCTGTTCCGAAGATCACATCCAGTAATATTTCCCTGATGGGGCACGTCAATGCCCCGAGGGCAAGTACTAGTGGAAAATTCTAACTCTTGCCAAGGGAATGCTCTGCAATTTTTTCCTCCAAATTCTTCCTCCGTCTCTTTGGGCCAAGCACATACAAACAAATGAACTCTAATAAACTACCTTCCATTTGTACAACATCCGACACTTCTCAAATTCATGTCTTGGCTCCTTAACTCTCAGCTCTTTAACCTGCTATTGCAATGAAGAGATAATTTTCACTCTCAACCAAATCCTCCAAGTACACTCTAGGGGTCACCAAGAAAGCAAAAAGAATCAGTTAAAGGAAATAGTAACACTGGTACATTTTGGAACTATTCTGAATACAGCCATGTGTCACTTATCGTCCACGATTCGCTCTGTGAAACAGGACAGGATGTGACTTGGACGTCGTGCCAACACCATATTATAGACTTAGCAAAGCCTCCCCTCCCCTCCACCTCCATCAATTCAGACCCCTTGTTGAGTCATCCACAGCTGCGCAGCCTTGGCTGCAGTCCCCTTGGATGCCCTCTACTGCTCCCGAAAGAGATGTGAAGCACTGGACTCTGCCACATGGGCTCTGTATACAATTGCTTTGCATACATGTAATACACGTTACATGTGGGGAGCTGCTGCATTCGCTATGTCTAGTTATGTCCCGTTCTCCAACAGGAATTTCTGAGCTCTATTATAACCTTATGAGACTACAGACGGATATGTGGGTCAGACACTGCCCAAACAGATGTTATGCAGCACATGACTGTATATGCTTTCTTTACCTTAAAATCTAGAAAGGAATGTTTATAAGCCATGATACTGTTTACATACTCATGTCAAAAATACTGATGGTTAAAATCAGCACTAGTCAGAAAAATCCTGTTTATAGGTCTGTTTTATATATATATAATCTATCGCAGCAAATTCCGAAGTTATTAGCATCTTCTCTAAGAGGAAACTATATATAAGATCAGAAATTGCCTCCTTAATACCACTATTATTTTTTTTAACTTAAATGGCTCCTTAGAAAAGCCACAATAGAATTAATTAACCTCAATTACTTAAACATTTAACTGTGACTCAAATATTTTCACTATGTTCTCAACCTGAGTCATAAATTTTTCAGTCAAGCAGGATGAATGAAATTCTTTAGTTGAGAAGCCTTATTTGCAGACAACTATTCCAGGCCATGGGGTGAGCAAGGAAGAAACATTACATATTGCCATAGCACACTACATTTGCTCCAAATCTGTTTTTCAGGAGGATTATCTACCGTGAAGGAGCCCTGGTGATGCAGTGGTTAAGAACTTGCCTAACTGAAAGGCTGGGGGTTCAAAGCCACCAGCTGCTCTGTGGGAGAAAGATGTGGCAGTCTGCTGTTGTAAAGATTACAGCCTTGGAAACTCTATGGGGCAGTTCTACTCTGTCCTACAGGGTTACCGTGAGTCGGAACCGACTCAATGA